ATTCTGTTTAGTTTCATCACTGACGGACGAAACTGTGCATACTCACTGATCTCGGCCAGGATATTTTCCGGCATAGAAAACCATCTCGATATAAATGTCCTGTTAGCACATGACCCCCTCATAGGCGGGGCTACAGCCCCTTCACTTCAGAGCATAGAAAGTATTCAGACGGCGCACGTTTTCTGAAAAGCTGAAACCGGTAATGGAAGTAGCAAAACGTCCCCTGGCACATATTTCATCGTGAAAATAAATTTTTGAATGCAAAACAGGCAATATATCTATGATATACTAGATCTTTATGGGGATTTTAGTTTAGAAGAGGTTGACCTTCACTAATCGTGGCTTTAATGTGTATTAGTACCATTCGAAATAGTGGGAACTGCGCAGGACGTCTTTAAACTATTAGAGTTAGAAGGTTGGTTCGCCTGGAATGAGACGACCTTTGGGTTAACGGTGTGCCACATTTAACAGCAATACGGTGCTGTTTCGCGCGCAAAAATCGGCATTGTAAAGAGGTGCCAAAATTAACGACGAATGGGTGTCCCCTGCACAAATGTCTGGGATTTAAGGGGTTATAGGGGGCTATGGTTGAATGCCACCTCACAGCCCCGCCTACGGCCCCCGATAGCCATCTCACATCCCAACGCAGCCCCGATATATCTGAGGGGTCGGGCAGGGCCGGTGCCGGTAGGGTGATGAAAAATTTACTTTTGAAACTCCGTTTTTCCTTTATAAAATGGTAGATAGCTTAATAGGGGTAGAAATGATTTTTCGCAAATCAAAGGGAGTTATTACGCCTGACTATATTTCATTCGCTTTACCGCTAAGCCGTTGAATTTAGTGTTTCTTGCACAACATTCTCATTGTGTCAAAGTGGAGGTACACTCTCCTCCCTGAACACATTATCCAGAACCGAAATGCTGGTAGAACGAGGTCTTTGTGCCAGTTATGCTCTTCAGGAGTCTGACAAAGATTGTGCTCGGTTTGAAAAAGATAACTGCCAAGAGTTAGTACGAACCATTAGTGCGTCATACTTACCTGTGTCCGCAAATGCCTTGCCTACAGAAGTGAAAGAACTAGGAAGCAAGAAATTGATGCAGTCAGCATTTACTCGCTAAGGAACGCATAAAAGTGCCTCCATATTTTTGCAGGCGGATTGCCTTCTAGGAGACTTACAAAATGAAAAACAATTCGTTTCAAGGGGTAGAAGTTGAGAGGCTTTTATTTACGGACAAAATTTCTCCAATGATACCGCAGGCCACTTTGTAAACGTCGTTCTCCAACCAAACACACGGAAATTCGCTATATATCATACTTTACGGATCTCCCTGGAGATCGCTCACAAAGATTGATAGCTATCTTGGCGACTGCGTAAGGAATGTTCGTGGGAGTTATAGAAGTTTCCAGTGTTCTCAGATTTTCTGGTCTTTGCCAATGAGAAATTGGATTCCCAGTTGTTGACATTTTGAGTAGTAGAAACTACTCATAAACATGAATGGGCTTTGGAAATGGAATTCGTCTGCACTCATTCAACTTAACAATGAAGGACACGCGCCTGTAAACGTCTCGTCGTAAACGCCTCTTAGCGAAGTGATGGCATATTATGAGCAGCCGATGCGTGCAGACGGACCGTCTTCGTTCTCTCACGTTTCTGAGTGTTTTTCTATTCTTCCGGGCCTCCGCGGATTGATTTTAGTTATATTTAGAAGCTGTAGAACGACTTACGCGGTATCCGTTTATCTTTCAAGTTTTGTTCGTACTTGAACGTCTCCCAAACTATAAATGTGCAAACATGTTTAACAGTGATCGTAACTCTGAGTAGCAGCTGTTTTTGGCATGTGTGCCCTGCCTCAATCAACATCCTAATTTAAACTTGAGTTGTGGTCAACTTTAGGGTGAAAAAGGATATTTCTGTCGTAACATTTTCTCTTTGTGGCTGCAGCAGTCCTTTTTTCTCAAACGGTCGGACACGGGGAGCATAGAGGAGGCCTTCCGCTAAATTCCACAACGACTCATATTCCCGCTTCTTGACACTCATTACAATGATAACACGTGTACGCACGTGCGTTTCCCGATCACTCCTGCGCCTTCACTGCTGTCCCTCGCCATCCCCTCCTTGACAAGAACTCCGGGTGCAGCTCTCCTAGCAGGAGTCCTTCTTGGTTTGTTAATTATTTTACTTCCCGCACTCAAATTGTCCAATCCCGTATATTCCGGATCGAAAACGACAGGGCAACGCGCTCGTGGCCCAGTGGTTAGATGCGTGGACTTCTAACTAACAGGTCGCTAGTTCGAGCCTCGGGTGTTCCACACTTCCGGGTTGGGTATGGCTGTCTGACGACGGCTAATAACCCAGAAATGGCCATTCCAGTCTCTCTTTTCAATGTCAGTAATAACATCCTGCCTATATCATGCGCCGCTGTGCAGCTGCTGGTTGGGCTCGAGTGAGAATCCATAAGGCACAACGGAACGAGTTCCGTATGAACGATCGGTGAGCGCCCCCTACCATTAGAAATCAACTGTCCATCAAAATAATTGTGGAACTATTTAAGGTTGCATGTTGTCCCTTTACCTCTTCTCCCTCCACGCTGATGACTTGAGGTCGTCAAATGACTGTCTGAATGTCAAGTATACGGTCGATTTGGTTTTTGGTCACCCCCTTAAATGTCAGACACATCTACGGTTTCTAGAGGATGGCCTGGATCAATCCTCCGCACGAGACAGTTCGATCGTCGTTATCGACGATGTCTACCGTGTAACCCCCCGGCATGGCGAAGCAGGGATGGTGACTTGTGCATGGATTAGTTTGTAGTGAATGTCGACTTGCACAGGATCTACCGCGCTCTCTCCTCCCCACCTAGAATCAATGCCAAGACATAGTCAAAACGACCGGAGGTGGGGGAGGGCGCAGGTGGATGGCGCGGTCGAGCCCACGCCTTGGCATTCTACTCCACACCCCCTGGTCCACACAGAAAATAACCAGGTCCTCGACCAACAACGGAAGGGTGGCTGGCACGGTCGGAGCCACACCTAGGCGTGCCGTCTCTTATTGAATAATTAAAATGCAATCCAGTGTTTTCTGAATGCGACCTTCTTTCACTTTGAATCCATGGATATTCTTCCCAAGGAGTTATTCTCTTTCCGGTACCTTGTTCTTACTCTAAAACCAAATCTTTCATTCTCTCCTCATCTTGAGACCGGTCTCATTAATTTTCTTAATTTGCTCTATTGCACTTATCGTTTGCGTTCCTCTCTCGCACCTCAAACCCTAATCTGGAAATTCATAAATGTCTGGATTTTCCCTCTCATTATTTCTTGTCCCCTGCTATTTGTCTGCCTCACTTAAAAGGAATACGACGATTTTAGAACGTGTTTTTCGAATGCTCCCATCAAGTACAGATATTTCCTGTGTTTTTAGTCGATATAATAATGCAACGATACTTACCATGGTCAGCCAATTCGCTGATCGAATTTTTGATGAAGTTGTCCATCCCCTTTTCTCCGACCCAACTGCTGTAACTTCTTTCCGTCCCATACGCCGAGGCTTCCGGCATATCTGCAGATCAGCATTCTCTATTAGCGTTTCTGAGACTTGAATTGTTCCCGTAATAGTTGTCCATTCTTCTTATGCAACCATCTTGACACTTGTGTAATTTGTCAGTTTATCTTTTGGCCACGGCAAAGGGACCCATTTTACTGAAAATCTTGAGTGGTAATTTCAAAATGACGCACTTTCGCTAATTTTATTCTCCAAAATGTCTGCCTAGAGAAGAAAACGCTAGTCCTTTCGTCGAAGCGAAGGAGGGTAATCCCTGGTTGTGTGGAATATTGACTTGCCCGTGCACTTTATCATGATTCGCGAAATTTCCACGGCGTTACTAGTCAGTGGCTAATTTCATTAAATATTAGCCGAGATTCCATAGGAGTCTAATTCGCGACATCACCGATCCGGTCAGATAAGACGTGGTCACACATGCATCAAATGTAGGTAGGTGCGTAGAGCATAGAGCCAGAACATTTGCGTGGCTTTAGCTATGAGAGCGGCCACTTAAAACTAGGGGTTGCATTCCCTTACCGTCTGCTTCTGAGAGTAAGCGATCTCAGGCAAATACTGGTAATATCATAAGTGGAGAAGAAGGCTGGTGGGACATCGGAACAGTCTTTTTATAGTTCTGCGCTCTCGGCCAGTCTTCCTATACATATTTCGGGAACTCGAACCTTCACCTCCGCCGGTAGTGTCAGTGTATTGCTCTGTGCTTTTGGTCAGATCCTTATGTCGATTGTCAGCGATATACAGGAAGGAATAATGCAAAGAGTTCGTTTGGGAATATGACCGATCATACTAGACGGAAATCCCTGCAGTGGTGTGATGGTACGCCTAGGCGCGGGCTCATGCCATTCCAATCCCCTGCACCCAATGTTTGCACCAGACGATTGACCGGCTCGTGTAGTGGACTGGGGTTTGGGCAATGAAAGAACGAAGGAATTCGACTTTGGGGACCTCTCCCTCATGACACCCAAAGTACATTCCTCACCATACATAATTGAATGCGTTTTAAATTACTACGGTGTGCTAAAGTTTGGGGCTTCAAAAGCTGCCAGCTGACGGGATAACTCGTCCTCCTCTCAGCACGTAGACCGACCATCGTAACTATGCGCTCAGCCTTTGCACCAAATGTCCGACGGGTTTGAACATTCGGTCGGGGTCTGAGGAGAAGAGGAGAGAGTGAAATCGACTCTGGGGAGTGCTCCTCCACGACACCCAGCGTGCATTCCTCACTATAAACAATCTAACGAGCTCTAAAACTACCACGGTAGGCCAAAAGTCTTGGCCTGGAAGACTGCAAACGGATGGGATTACTCGTTTCTCCTCTCGGGGCGGAGGGCCAGGCTGTAATGGCTCACTTCGAATGTGACCTCTGCCTTGTCCCAACTCATTTGGGATCTGAGCTCTCCTTTGTTTCCCTGGAAACTTAGTCCATCGTGCGCCGATCAAGCATATGCGACAGGTCCAGGCGGGCTGTTTCTTTGTGGCAGACACTGCGTCCAGTCCCGATTCCGGCCTGACTGACTCTATCCTTACGAAGGGCACCTGTGAGTGAGAGAGAGTGGAGTGAGTGCGGCGAAATCAGCGCAAGTCTACTGTCCAATAAGAACTAACCCACTTTCAAGCCACCATCCCTGCGCTCTTCAATCGCTGGTGCACACAGGGAGCATCGTCGATTCACTACGGTGGACTTGAGAAACATTCCAAATCCTAAAATATTAAATTACTTCAGGGGGACGCTAGATTTTTCTCTGTTCCTATTTGACTGTTAATTTAGCACTAACTTTGGTTTTAGAGATCGTTTCACATTGTCGATATTACTAAATTGAAACATCGCAAAAAACGACAGAAGAAAATGTATGATCTCGTGAAATGCGGGGCTCATGATTCGAATTTTCAGGATGATGTTGAACGGAACAGGTGGAGTAAGTTATACCCACTACCAAGGTCACGTACAATTCTAACCCTTGCGGTCATTAGCCTCCAGCTCCAACAAGGAGTGATCAGAATTATCCTGTCAAGAACAGCACTGTGAACTATCTGCTAAAGGCGGTTTTACCTAAATGCGAGGTAGATTATCGGCGATCTGGCTAGGCTTTTGTATTCTTCGGCTGACAAACTGAACACTGTCTGGTCAGTTTTTGTGAACCGAAAGTGTCGGTAAGTTATATACAGTTAAATCATCCCAAGTGAAGACAGAGACAGGAAGTGAACATATAACTCCTCAGGGGTGTGCGTAAAGTGCACGAGCAAGTGATCGATAGAGCTTTACACCCTCATCACCTTTGGCTGTAAATAATACATGACACTCTTCGTAATGTATGACAGGCACTTTTCTAATCATTTTCATAAACAGCTGTTGTCATGTTACTTCATTTGCAGAAACTCGGCTATCCCGATGGATTCACTCAGATAGTACGCCAGCTCAACGATGGCGTGACGGCGCGCGTCACGGACAATGGAGCTGTCTCAGGGGCTTTCGAAGTGACCAATAGGGCGAAACAGGACTGCGTTCCCTCGCCTACCCTCCTCAGTCTCATGTTCTCTGACATGCTAATGAACGCCTATTGTGGCGAACGTCCCGAGATCCGCGCCGTCCACAGGACGGGCAATTAACTCCTCAACCACCGGCGGATGCACTTTCAGTCGCGTGTATCCAAAACTACCGTCCATGAACTTCTCTTCGCCGAAGACTGTGCTCTCAACGCAACTACAAACAACGCCGGTCTCATCATCAACACGGAGAAGACGGTGGTCATATATCAACTGCCAACTGACGCTGTCTAGGTCGCACACCCAAATCAACGTGGACGACGCACAACTGCAAGTCATAGACAACTTCACCTACCTGGGAGGACCCTCTCTCGCAACAGCAGAAATGACGATGCAGTGGCTCGCCGGGTTTCCAGAGCCACCCAAGCCTTCGGTCACCTACAGAACACCATTAGGAATCGCCATGGTCTCAACATCAGTACCGAACTGAAGATGTACAAAGCAGCCATCTTGTCGACGCCACTATATAGAGCAGAGACTTGGACGGTGTACAAGAAGCAGCGCGGAGGCTCAACCACTGTTACCTCAGCCGTCTTCGGCGGACATTGAAGATGGGACGGCAGAACCCGATGCCGGAAACGGACGTACTGAAACTCACAAGAGTTCTCAGCATCTACGCCGTGCTGCGACAAATTCAACTGCGCTGGAGCGGCCATCTGGTACGCATGGACGACGAGCGGTTGCCCAAACAACTCTTCTGTGGAGATGACATCACGAGTTCCCGTCGACAAGAAGGTCCGGTCCGGCAGATCAGCCTGGCCAACTGACCTCGTCCGGGACCAAACGACCTGGAGCAGGACGATGAAGACAGAGAGAATGATCTACGAAGCCAACCGCATAACCACCGCCAAAGCCAAACGCGATGCTCAACTCAACTGCCCCCTCCTCGTAACGCCAACTTTCAACTGCCCCTCGTCCTGCCCACGATGTCAGCGGACGTTCCGAGCACCAGTCGGTCTTATTGGACACCTGCGAACCTACTGCTGCACTCAGACGACACCAACCACTGTTTCCCCGCCTCTTCCCCCACGTTGACAATTAACCCTGATCTCCCTTCTGCTTTTCGGTCGTCGTTCTCCACCGTCTCCAGAATTGCAGCTGCGACTCCTGCTCTCGACATCACTGTGCACGTCCCTGACGCACTGTCAAGCATCAACCTCACCACTGTCAACTCTAGCGATGTAGACTCAATCTGTGCCTGTTATTACTGCGATCGCACATTCACCTCACACATCGGCCTAGTGGATCACTTACAAATTCATTACACAAAGGTTGGCCTGGAGCACCAACCTACTTTCGCCGCATCCTCCTCAACTACCCTCACTCCGCCCTGTACATTCAGTCCCCGCATGTGCTTATTAGGCCAAATTCGCATTCAAGAAAACCTGCGACAGACAACTGCCGGCTACACCACAGCGCACCTGCACTACACAACAAAATCACCCATCGCAAACACTCGATCGCCACCTCCTACGCAAGCGGGAAGTGTGCTTCTCGACTCGTACTCCATACGAGTCCTCTGTTGCATGTGTGATCCGAATCTGAGGCTATCACGTGCGCCAAGCGCAGTGGCTGGCAAAACCGCCGACTGGCGCCTCAACTCCTTCCACGCAGTCAGCCCAGTTGTGTGTGTGTGTGTTTGCGTGGAGTGACGGACTAATAGTCAGGCTGCCACAGCCCCTTCTTAACGTGACCTCTGGCACTGTCACGCATGTGAGGAGTGTGCGTGTGTGTACTTTCTGGGTAGTGCCTCTCAGTCTGCGACTGACTGGTTACCCAGCCTTTAAAGAGTGATGTCTGCGTGTCATCCTTCTGGGGCTCAAGGAGTGTAAGCATCTGCTATGCCGGGATCCAGCAAACCATGACCCTCGCCGTCTAGTGTGCATTGGTAGTTCTCTAGCACCTGGTTCCCTGCCGGTAGATGCGCTTGCGCCCCCGCTGAGTACACAGGTCGTCAGCATGGCTGCCCAGCCACCCTCCCCTTTCTGACTTGTTGTGGTGCTGTCGTTGTTGCTTAGGATCCCGGTCAAGTGTTTGTTATGAGCTAGGGTGTGTGGTGGTGCGCCTAGGTGCGGATCCGGTCGCGCCAGCCACCTACCTGCCTGCTTTGGAGCACACGGTGGACATCGTCGTGCACGACGGTCGAATTGTCAATTTCCCTTTCCGGGGAATAGACGAACCTGGAAGCGGAGCAAGTTGCTGGGCGCCTAATCCCTGGCAAACTCTTTTGTGGCCATGTTTTCTGTCTGGAGGTCACTAGACCAGGACGATAAAATGATGCTGTCTTCGTTACTTGCTGCCTGGAAAAAGTGTGCTAGGTGAGACTGAGGGTCGTCCTATTAGTGCAAACGTCACAGACCTGTCCATGGTCAGCTGAAAGCTCTTGTTGCTCAGTGTTCTCCTTCACTTTCTAAAAAGCTTAAGGTCAGCGGAAACGTCGCTGGAATAATTGTTTCGTCGGTCCCCACACGGAATGACTCCCTAACCCCGCAAACAGCTGGTTATGGCGACTCTGCGGTTGTCGGGCAAATTCACTTCCTTTACGTGAGCTGGTCAATGGGATTCGCCTGTCCAAACTACGTGTTGAAGCTACGGGCTTCACAAACAATACCACTGCATAGCATGATCCAACGTCACTTCTGCAGTTCTTTCAGAATGACAAATTTCTCTCCCGCGTACATTAAATTTTTTTCATTGTCATCTATCTATAGTATTCATTTTGACAGGTCATCTTAACTGTAACTTACGTTGTTAGGTGTGTTAACAGTTATTTCGAAATACTTTTCCTGCAATTCTTCGTGCTGTTGTGGTCCGCGTTCTTGTAAGTTCTAACGCCCTTCACGTACCTGGCAAAATGGCTGTTGCCAGAGCCCGTAAGAGAATAAGGGTTTTCATACTGACCGAACTGTGAAAACCCGGCGCCTCGGTGGGATTCTAACCCACGACAGTAAGGGGAAGGCTTTACTACAGCCAACCCTTTAGCCACATGAGTTAGGAGGTCCCGCCGGACGATGACCTCCTTCTCGATTACGAGGACAGCCGTTGTTCGTATTAGCCCAACTGTGAAGAACTCGGCGCCTCGGTGGTAGTCGGATCCACAACAGTAAAGGGAAGGCTTTACTACAGCCGACGCTTTAGCCACGTGAGTTAGGAGGTCTCACCGGAAGACGTGATTTTAATTACATTTGGGTCCAGTTACCCGCCGAACCTAATGCAACGTCTAGAATCCGTCAAGTTGACTGCCCAAGCGGGGCCTCGTAGCTCAGGTGGTTAGAGCGTTGGCTGTACTAAAACCTTCATCTTACTGTCGTGAGTTTAAATCCCACAAAGGCGCCGAGTCTCTCACAATTGGATCAATATGAAATATTCAAAATCAGCCGAAACATCTATGAACAAGTATTTTATAATGACGACCTCAGTCAAGCGATCCGGAGAGTCTGTGACAGCGGTCACGTCAAGTCATGAAACATTCAGGAGAGCACCGCCGTTAAACTGTTGCATTATTTCAAACACGAACATGCCAGAAAACATAGCTTCCTTTCATGTTAACTTTACAGCTTGTTGCTGGGAGCACTTTTTATGGCAGGCATCTGAAAGCGCCTGAAGTGGTTGCTAGAACCGTTGGTGGAAGGTTAGAAAATCAGCGCATATCGTTAGCATAAAATGATGTTACCTAGTCCTTGGCGAAAACGGAATCAGCATTTTTGTCTGGTTTTTCATTCTTATCTGGGGAGGATGTAGAGCGAGTATAAAAGTTCGTTAAAACAAAGGGAAATTTTTTGGATGCCTTCTAAAGTAGAAGAGTGCAGTTTGGTAATGTTGATTGCAATTTACCCCAACGGGAGGTTAATTATTTAATAGCAGTTTACTGGCCCTGTGACTACTATTACTGTGAAATGGACTTTTATCGAGTTGTATTCCACAGGATGGATGTACGCTCATTATGATAGTTATTTAAAAGTGTTCATAGAAAAAATAGGAATATTTACGTTTTCAAAAGTTTACCAATATCTGCGCACTTTGAGGCCTAACAGCACACGTTTTCTCCCTTTGAGTGCCCCTCCAAAGAGATCTTTCGATACGTATCGTGCATGTTCAGGCCATGGATACGAAGACTGAAATAAGCATAATTTCTCTTATATTGAGTAGATTAGATGAGTCATTTTCGAATTCTCTGAGAGCACTAATAGGCCGCCTATTGGCCTATAGGCGCCAATAGGCCGCCTAACATTTTGATTGTCACTAATATTTTCACTTTTGTCTCAGACTTGGCATGGGTGTTTTCTGAACAGTTTACTAAAGAAAGATTTAAACCAAGGCAATGCGAAAAAGCTGTTGATATTTATTTCAAAGATGAAGACTAATTTGTTGTGATTCGGAGAGGTTGTATGGGCTATTTCAATCCCCCCCCCCCGCGAAGAGGAAAATGTTGACCGCAAACGTGACTTGGTTCACCTTCCATAGCTGAAATTATTCTTAGTTTCTGTGTCCTATAGTATAAAAAGGGAAAAACAAAAACTACTCCAACTTATGAACTTCGAAGCTCCTTATGTACTATTCTGCATGAAAGACGTTTTACGCAGTCATGGGTAATCAGTGAAACATGCCCACCACACAAGCAGTATACTCGCAGGGTAATTTGTGCAGGTAACACGGAAAAGGTATTATCAAAAGGTCTCTTGCTGCCACATAGGAATTAAGTTGGGATTTTGTATCCTATCATTTTTTGTAAACTCGCACAGGAAGTGTTTTCCGCTTATAGGCGCGTCGCTACATTGCCGTTAATTTTTCAGGAGGTCCATCGCACACTGAAAGGTTACCCTCCTATTCAGCATCCATTTTAGGGTGCTTTAATCTTAAGTTTTGTGTCATTTGAAAGCGGTTCCGGGGTCTTAGAAACCGATGGAATGGAACTGTAGTCCTTCTTCTTCCTCCTCTCGGCGCCACAACTGAAGCCATTCCCTCCTATCCAGCCGTTCCTACGTTGAGAATTCTCCGTGAACATCATTATTTTGGGCACGACATGCATGTTTCATTTCCATGAGACAAGACAGGACAACAAGGTCGGCATTATCAATTCTTAACATATTTTTAAAATCGAGCTAGGTTTCCTTGCATACACATACCTCTCTGCGCATTTATGGCGACGAGAAATCTGACCGACTTTCAGCGCCATGCACTGCTCTAGTTAGTTCAACGCGGGTGTCTCTCTAGTATAAGTATGAGGGCAGGAACGGTGATAGAAGTAAGTTGCAGTCTGGCAAATAAATCTATTGGAAAATAAGCAGGTCAACAGCTAACTCGCCCGAAGATAGAATTGTGACGGTGTGAAGTGCGCGTTTGTTTACTTTTGTCTGATTGGTTGAGCTCAAGGCCGAACGACATACGTTCTCTCCTAATCTGGCTTCTTCACTGATAACATCTGCGCTCGCAGTTGTGGCCTCCTTTTCGCCTAATTACCGCTTGAAATGCACCCTTTTGTGAAGCCTGGGTTAATTGACCTTTGCGCTAGACGCAGCTGGTGTGAAACGGTGGGTAGTTTTTACGGCGAAAAGCGCACATCAAGTTTTCTCAACTGTTTCTTTGGGTAAAATCTCATTTATAAGCTTGTTTCTCTCGATATAAAGTCGTGTTTTACATTTTCTTTTTCTTCTTCCCTAACCATATTTGGAGGTCGCCCTCGTCTGACTACATTTTATCTGATAAAATTTATTTCGTGTCTATAAGAGAGATTTAAAAATACCTGGACTGCCGTCTTGAAGATTCGCAAATTTTCGTGGACTGTTTAGAGTTAGTGTGAGAGCTGGACAATGAAGGGAATAAAGGAACGCGACTGCGCTGAAGCGATATGCCATAACAGTGGAGAATATTAGTTGTGTGTATTTGACTGCAAAATATCATGATTTAGCAAGACACCTCTCCACCCTCTGCAAATAATTTGTAGCAGAAGTGAGTGCTCAATCAGGTGAAGCGCTGGAGGCCTCAGATCAAACTATGGCAGCCGCAAATTTCAGCATGACAATTCCTGTGACTCACTAAGACTGATGGACACCCCGCTGCCGAGGGAACAACAAAATCCGGGGCACGCAGTACCGGTAACCTACTGGCCATTTAAACAGTGCTGTGGCAGTTGACGTCAGTGCAAACCACAACTGTGCTACAGAGTTTCACAAACTTCAGTGTCCGTAGCTTCTTGTCCCTCCCCCGCCCTAATTCACAGAGCCGTTATTTCAACGCGAAAAGTAACAGTCGCAGTACTCTTACCTACGTTCCTGCAGTCACGGGTAAATGAGATTTGGTCAGCCACTCGAGATCGCGTGCAGGGACACCCAGTAAATGAAGTGGAACACGAGGTTTCTACGCTCTCCATGCTCTTTGTGCATTCACAACGTGAAGGCTGTAGACTTCCTATACTTGAGATTCTCTCCTCTTCCCCATACTTAATTCTTCAATGAATGTGTTTTAAGTACTTCAGCGAGTCCAAGTTCGATCTGGGTGCTGTACGATATCTGGTGTAATTAGTTTGCCAAACATAATGATCGGACTAATAGTGCTTGTAAATTCAAACTTCTGGTGCGTCCGAGTGCAGCCATGGACAACGGACTTGAAAGCTCTTTAATAATCTCAACCGCATGTTTACGTAATTATGAAA